TCTTTCCCTTTTTTCAAAATTATTTTAAGAACAAGACAACGATCACCAAGTATCGAACGCGAAGGTGAGAACGCAAAGGAGACGATCTCTCGTTTCGATGAAGACACGAGAAGCGCGGAATCGCTGTCACTGTGCGCGACCGCGTCACGACATCGTCTACGAGCGTTCGCGCGCGCGCTCACGACGTGCTGTTCCCGAGCCAGCGTCTCTCCCGATGCTGGGGCAAATTGCTTCGCGAACTGCTGCGTCGACGACGACGACGACGACGACGACGACGACGACGACGACGACGACGACGACGACGACGACGACGACGACGACGACGACGACGACGACGACGACGACGACGACGACGACGACGACGACGACGACGACGACGACGACGACGACGACGACGACGACGACGACGACGACGACGACGACGACGACGACGACGACGACGACGACGACGACGATCTCGCTCGCTAGTCACGGAAGTAGGTTTTGACAGTCATCCGCAAACAGACGGACGCCAGTATTGCCAACCGCTCGGTCGCTCTCTCGCGTACCGTTACCTCATACGGGCGCATGCGCAGCCGATTTTAATCTCGCATTCTGTCAAAAGTGATCATCAAGGAGCACAAGTGCGCGAAGCAACTGGTCTAACCTTGTCTGTCGCGGAATCAAATCGCTGGTAAATTGCGATATTTTCTCGTTGTAAAAGTAATCTTGATGTAATTTCGATGATTAGCGATACAACCTTAATCTTAAACTCCGTCGAGAACGATTCGCGCGTGGGACAATTTAACCCAACTCTGCTTAACCTCAATCTCTTTGCTGATCCTTCTCTCGTTTTTTCGCGCTTTCCCTTCCTTCTTTTCGCAAGAATTAAAATCGCGATAATGTACAGCTTTAAACGCGAATAGTTTGAATGATTAGCACCGATTGACTTAATCTAACTTCAAACTCCTCGTGTTCTTGCGATTCTTGTCTCGTCGCGAGAAAAATAAATAAACTCGTCGATAAATCGCACTAGAACACAAGTAGGATTTAACAATTTGGTTTTGATTATTTACGCAAACAGAGATGCCACTGTTGCCAACTAGTTTGGCGATCCCGTTACATCACGCGAGACTGACTTCGTCTCGAAATGCATTCGCGCGTATTTGCCTCATTTTGCTGTCATTTCGTCTCGTCGCAAAAATCAAGTCATTGATAACAATTTGAAAGAGATTCTCATCTTTTCACCTTTTCTAACATCCTCGATGATTCGCATCGAAATATCCGTTTCCGAAAATCGCAGGACGAAAGGCAGTTCATCAGCGTTTTTTAATTCGATTCCAAACTCGTAAACACTTGTATAAATAACGTCCGCAAATTAAATTCGCATTTTTAGATTTTAATTTCCACTTTCATTAACGACTCTCCGCGAGATAAATTTCAATTGAGATTGAAAAACCCGTGGAAAAGACCAAGATGTACTCAATGGTTCCCTAGCGGAGCTATTTTATTATTTATAAATATGTCTCGGGCCGACTGCCAAAATTAGGTTTAGTGAGACCACTAAACCTAAACATTTATCCTTGACATTTCGTCAACAAGATTGCGATAGTGTACTGACTTCTTGGCGAGATGCTACAAAAGCGTTTTCCCGCGTCAATATACATAGATTATTTTTCTAGGTCTAGTCCACGTTAAACTTTCCACATTTAAATGAGTCTGTTTCTTTTAGCTCTACACTTTTTGATATAAGACATTAGTTGAAAAAGAACACAGGGTTTCTTTCTCTCTCTCTCTCTCTCTTTCCAACGCCTAAATATATATATTCGTCTCGTTGCAGAAATTTATAGGAATTGCAAGCAAAAAACACGAACAAACGTCATGCTTCACATGTCGTCTGCTTGCGGTTGACTTGTGACGTCACCAGCAATCAGCTGAGACGCGTCAATTGTGGTATACGCGTCAACCACGTGTTTACCAGCAATGACTGGTGTTGAATATTTGTCGTCGTTGCCGTCAGACAATGTAAGGACAAAAATGGATGGATTGGTGATGCAAGTGTTATACGGAAGCGAGACCGGAACTGCACAGGATGTCGCTGAACAAATTTGGAAGAGCGCCCAAAGGTTTTGTTATTGTTTTCCTTCCTGGCACATGAGCCTCAAATTCTTTTATAGGAAAATTTTTGGCACACGAACTCTCTACTCTTGTATCTTTAAACGATCTTTAAATGATCTTTAAATAGATATTCGAATTCATACTTTCATCACATCATTAATATCTTTTATTCTTTTTACACACTTCTACTTTCCTTGAGAGAGAGAGAGAGAGAGAGAGAGAATTGTATATAAGATATTATATTCGATGAAAGACAAATTATCTATTATATATTTTATGAATTTTGAGATATAAGAAATATCACATAAGTATTTATCTAAAATAAATATAATACATAAGTAATTATCTAAAATTTTAAAAATAACTAACAACAAAAAATATATTATATTTTACAATTTAAAAAGTACATACAATATCCTATATTTTAAAATTTCTTAATATAGAATAATATCCTCAATTTTAAAACTTTGAATACAGATTTAACATTTGTTTAAAATTTTAAAGAAAACAACTGCAAAGTACTGTATCATCTTTGGACGAATATGACATGCGACATTTCTCTTCCGAACAACTAATTGTCTTTGTTGTCGCAACTACTGGACAAGGAGACCCTCCAGCTAACATGAAAACATTCTGGAGACGTTTACTAGGCAAGAGTCTTCGGGCAGACCTGCTGCAAAATCTAAAATATGGCGTACTTGGTTTGGGTGATAGTTCCTATTCAAAATTCAACTTTGCTGCAAAAAAATTAAACAAACGTCTTGCGCAATTAGGTGGCAAAGAATTATTACCCATTGGACTTGCTGATGACCAGCATAATTTGGGCATTGATGCTGTAGTGGATTCCTGGATTAAAAAATTATGGGAAGAAATTGCAAACGTTTTTAAAATTTCTATAGAAGACAAGATTCCGGAAAATTTAATAATTGAAAGATATCGCGTCTCAATATTAAAAAAGAGTGATTCCGATATTTTAGAAAAGCCATTATTTATTAATGACAATTGTATATTCTATCCATATGAATCAGACATTGGCATTTATGAACGAAAAACAGATATAAATGTTAAAATAGGAACAATATGTGAAAATGTAAGAACCACTTTAGAAGATCATTTTCAAGATGTTAGATTAATAACTATCAAATTACCATATGATATTAAATATGATCCTGGAGATGTTATCTACCTTAGACCAAAGAATTCTATGGAACAAGTGAAACGTTTCTTTAATATACTTTGCGAACACAATATAGAATTGTTTCCAGATACAATGATTGTAGTAACGGAGAAGGAAATAAAAGTTCCATTTGCTTTGACAGGCGAATGTTTATTTTTAAAAGAAATTGTTGAACAATATTGGGATCTGAATTTCAAACCACGAAGATCTACAATGCATACTTTGTCTCTTATCAGTGAAAATGAGTTAGAAAAGGAAAAATTACATGAATTTGCTAGTCCAGGTGGTCAAGAAGAACTTTATGATTACATAAACAGACCAAAAAGAAATATTTTAGAAGTTCTCGCGGACTTTCCTTATACGACTAGTAAACTAAATATTGAATTGTTATTTGAAATTATGTCACCCATAAAACCACGTCCTTATAGCATTGCCTCCAGTTCAAAAGCTACTCCAGATTCAATTCAAATTTTGATAGCGGTAGTTAAATACACAACTAGACTGTTGGAGCCAAGATATGGTTTATGTTCAAATTGGCTGGCAAGTTTAAAAAGGAATGACAAAGTGGTATTTTGGTTTCAAAAGGGAACTTTTCGATTTGAAGATAATAAACCAATGATTTTGATTGGTCCTGGAACTGGCGTTGCTCCATTTCGATCCTTTCTTTTGGAAAAAGAAAAGCAGGAAAGAGATTTGAAGGAATGCGCTCTGTTTTTTGGATGCAGGAATAAGAATAAGGATTATCACTGCAGGGAAGATTTTGAACGCTTATCGAGAGAGAGAAATTTGAAAGTGTTCTGTGCATTTTCTAGGGATCAAGATCATAAAATGTAAGTCATCCATTGCTTAGAAAACATAAGAATATGAAATTTATAAAATTATAATTGTTATTTACTTCTAAAATCTTAGTATTTACTTTTTTTCATTGTTTATTATACTCTTATATATTAAGAAATATATATTATATCTTTTCAGATATGTGCAACATATTATTCGTAAACAAAGAGAGTTATGCTGGCAGTTTTTACAAAATGATGGCAACATTTATTTGGCAGGAAATTCTAAAAATATGCCAAATGATGTGCGCGATGAATTTGTTGATTTGACAAAGGAAATCGGTAAAATGACGAAAGAGCAAGCGGAAGCGTTCATCAAGGATCTAGAAAAGAACAATCGATATCAAATCGAGACTTGGGGTTGATAAAAAACATAAAAAAATCACAAAGATTGTGCCTCCGAGAAAAATATTTGATATATATCAGATTTTTTAATACAAAAAGTATATATATATTTGTTTTATATTTATATGTATAATATAAATGTATATCACTTGTGGATTATTTCATTCAGATACACATAGTTGATATATATATGTATTTGTTTTAAGCATCAAATAAATCTTACATATTTACTGTAAAATATTATATTACATAATATATATACATACATATATATAACATCTATACATTTATATACTTCTTATATTCAAGAAACTAAGATTAATGAGTATCGGTCCTCTTTGTCCTTTTACATATATATATATATATATATATACCTTACTATTTTTATACCCCCTTTTCAAACTTCATAAACATTCGGCCATCTCCGGCGCTCTTCGTGACGAGAGGCACCGAGCAGCACCGAGATGTATATCTTGATGAACTCTTAACCCCGCGACCTAACCTAGCAAAATAGTGGGAATACGGAAACATGGTACGGACGCTCGTGTGTCCCGCAGTGTTCCCCGTATCTCGAGCGATCTCCACTTCGTTTAATCGTTGATTGCACTTTTTTTTATCTTTTTCTTCGGCGCGCGCGACGCGACGATATCCAAGCAAACAAGATACTCGAAACATACGACCGATGGACATTGGCACGTGATTTTCTTTTTTCGTCGTCCACCACACTCTCCGGACAATCCATTATCGTCGATAGCTGACAATAACTTTAGCAAATCGCTTACCAATAGTCGAGTTCGAGACGAGTAACGCGGAAAGGTCCGGTATAAGGTTTGTCTCTTTTTTTTTTTTTTTTACATGGCTACACTTTTTTCTCGCTTATAACCTGTCCACCCTATCCAACCCTATCTTGAGGAGATTCTCGCTCAAAATTTATTCCATTATAATATCTAAATTACGTTTATGTAAAAGAAAGAATATTTTTATATCTTGAGAGAGAGAAAGTATTTATATTTATTTAATATTTTTAGATATTACTTTTAACCTGTGTAAAGACTACTGACACATGCCGGATATATACAATTTTATAATTATTAGATCGCATATCTAAATAATTTTTTGTATAGATAAGAAAATATTTTATTTTATAGTTAAAGAAAAACCGTGTTTTTTTATGTTTTAATATTAATACTTTCTCAACTAAATCTACAATTAAGAATAGTAATGTAGAATGTATCAGACTCCTTGATTATTACATACTTTATAATATCTAAGCTGCATTTATAATTTAAAAATAGTATTTTATTTTGTAATTCAAATTTTATTTATAATTTAAGAATATTTTGTGTCTATTGACATTTGTATGGATAAAATAATCTGCAATATTCTAATTATTTTATTATTACTTATGATAATTACATATGATAATTACCTAAAATATTTGAATATTTTAAATATGTATGTATTATTTATTTTAACATTCTCAGATTAATAATTTGTATGATAATATTAAATTTCATGAAACTTTCATGTAAAGTATTATGCATTCTATAAAACTATCACAGTATTGAAATATTTCAGAATATAAATGTATAAAATAATTTATGTAATAAAATATTGCCTGAAAACATAATACAAATACTAAATTTTGGCATTTTCTCAGAATAAATCCAAGAACAATAATAAGAACAATTTAAATTGTCAAGTACTGTTGTAAATACTTGGAATCAAACAATGTTTACGCTTCTTGATGCATTCATGTAATCTCGTCTTGTCCCAAAAATAAAGAGTCAACTGGAGTTTGATTGATTTTTAAAGAGAATCTAATTGAAAGTGGGAATTAATATCGATCAATCAATTAATAAAGATCAACCTGCTATAAAAAAATATGTATATTCTAAATATTTTATAACATGTACATATCAGTATGTCTTATAGCTTATATTGGCCTTGTCATATTGTTAGGTGCATAAAATATTTTTTGCAATATTATTTCTTTTTTAAAATTTATTTATACATAATTTAAAAGAGAGATAGAGAGAATATATTTGTATTTATTTTAATATCTAGTTAATCTTTTTGATAATATTATATTGTATTTAGGTTTTATGAAAATTTCATATATCATTTTTCATAAATTTAAATTTATACTTAAATACAAAGTTATATTTTTGTATTAACAATATTTTCAATAATATTGTCTAAATATCACGAAAAATTTATCTGAAGTGATGCGACATTTGAATAATAAATAAATATTCACAATTTTCAGGCGAAGATAAAATCACGGGAAAGTGCACAAAGTGTAGGTAAATCTACATTCTTTCTGGGGACCGATCATCGAAAGATGTACTAAAATCGTCGTAGTCATTGCTGAGAGCATCATCGAAGTCGGTAGCATTTGAAGAATCTCTCTTGTGTAACAAAAAAGGATATAAAACATACATAGAAAAATGGCGGGCACTTACACCAAGAAGGAATTTGGCGCGGGGCCCGAAGAACAGACTCTGTTGAAGGATTCCAACGGAACCCGTATCGTGGCTGCGAAAGGTAATAGTGCGACGCGCTCTCATGGTTACAGGGGAATGCAGTAGCTTTCTTGGAATATTGCTGTTTTGTTATCTTATTTTCTCTTGGTATATTCCTGCCCAAACCAGTCTATAGAAGAGGTTTACAGACTGCGGATGCAGCATTCTTGGCAGTGAAGTGTTTGTGGGTTTAACATTGGTCTGTAGTTTGTTGGATTTCATTTGATTAAAAGCTTATATTTTATGCATTTTTTGTAATATATATATGAATATATAACATAAAAAAAATTAGGTAGATTAGTTTGTTTATATAACTAGCAATTTATAATTTTTGTGCATGATATGTAATTTTATCTTACAATTTATAATAATTCTGTGACATTTCAATAGTTTTGAAATATAGTTAAGAATTCATCTAAAATGATATTTATAAATAATAAATTATAATTAGTCATGAGAGAAAACTGATAAGATATTTTAAAAATAACAGTTTCCTTCACATTTGAGTGCTCTCTTTCTTTTTGTGCTTGCTATCATAACTAACATATCATAAACATAACTACTTGGAATTCTTGGAAAACAAAATATTATGATAATAATATATTATAAAAGAATCAAAATATTATGGTAATATTATATTATAAAAGAATCAAAATTTTAGGTTTGTCCAAAATTTGTTAAAAATTTATTATTATAAGAAATTATAAAATAATTTACTTGTCTGCAATTCTTTTTACATTAGTTTTGTATATGTACTTATTTCTCTATTTTTATATATTTATTTTATTTTATTTACACATTTTTTAATTATATTTTTCTATTTGTTTTTTATACATCTTATGTTTTAACTTCCACTTTCTTTTAAATTAAACTAGCTGGATATTTTACATTATTAATAGTTCATAAAAAAATGTAGTATTGATATTAATAACTTTATAATTTTTATTTAAAAAAAATATGTGGAATCAATTTTCAGAATCGCTTTTTTTCACCTTGTTCAATCAGTATATAAACATATTTAAAAGTGTCAAATATGTATAATAATTTGATAACATTAAAGCATTTTAGTGTAGCTTACACAGACAAGAATAACATTTTCTCACGCATAAAGGTTTTATTTTGCTGATATAACATGCTGATTTAGCTGAATAAAAATACGCGAGTCTTTCATGCAGTCACTGATAGAATGGGAAGTATTGTGACGCACTCGCGAAATAGCGTCTCACAGACGATTAATAAAAATTATTAGTGATAATAATTTACTGAGCAGTGATATAAGCTTCCTTATATTAATTGACTATTATTCTTGTGTTTTTAATGGTTTTGTTTTTTAATTTTAAATTAAAAACTAATTAAATATTTAAATTAAATTAAAAACATAAAATATTGCCTTGTTTAAATAATTCAATACAAGGCAGATGGCTGTAAAAGGTATTTTGCAATTTTTTTCTTAACTGCTAATTTTATTATATAATTTGTTTTATCCCAAGATTTATAGTAACTTATACTTATGTTCTATTATAGTGGCTGCACACAATTATCTTTTAGCTATAAACAATTATCTGTGTCTAAATTAATTATCTGTGTGTATCAGCTGTATGTCAAAATCTCATATGTAATACCTTTTTTTTTTTTTTTTTTTTTTTTTTTTTTTTTTTTTACTATAATGATATTTTCAATTCTTTTTCAATATACAATACAAAATAATATATTTGAAATTGTTCTTAATTAAATAATTAAAACAAATTATTTAAAAATATTATCTTACAGCATATAATATTATAATTAATTTCTTAATTTAGAAATTTAAAGAATAAAATTTTAATTTAATTCTGAAAATTATTTTTAGTTTTTATTTAATTTAATCGATCATACAAAGGAGATAAAAGGCAATCAAAGGCCAGCGCGGTAATTTGTGCATATGTTTTATTACAATTAATGTAATTATCAATGTAATTTGGTTGTAATAAAACATGTGCGCACAAATTACCGCGCTTGCTCTTGATTGCCTTTTATCTCTTTTGTATGATATATTCATAAGAGCCTTCATTAGTTAATTTATTTTAATCGAATTCTCATTTAAGGTTCGGAACCTGTGCGTCTTTCACCAGGATGGGAAGGCACAGGTAGACCTGACGACGAACTTAATTTTAAAGGCGTTACAATGGATCAAGCAGATCTCGAATTGAATCCTCCTAAAGATAGGTATAGCTATTATTTGTTTGTTGTATTATTTAATATGGATCGTCTGTATATTAAAAAATTGTATATAAGCTTTATATTAATAAAATAATGATGGTAGAGAATTTTTTATATAATATAATTATATGAGTTAAATATTTTTATTAATTCTATATATTTATCTTTTTGTATAAAATGTTGCTAACTTAAGCAAAACTGTTTTAGATTAAATTTAGTATTTTGCATACTGGTACTTCATGGAATCGGTGCCTTGATGCCATGGAATATGTTTATAACAGCTAAAGATGTAAGTGAATCAAGTATAACAATTTATAATAACACAGTTGAAATTACACACTATATATATAAAGCATTGGTATATTTTGTAGTATTTTGTGAATTACAAATTGTCTATGGAGTACACTGGTATAGATACAAACTATGCAACAAATTTTCTTGCATACCTGGGATTCGCGGCGCAAATTCCCAATCTACTGTTTAATTGGCTGAATGTGTTTTTACAACTTGGGTATGTATATAAAATAACAAAATGCATTGTGCAACAAGAAATTTTTATAATCTTTCTTAAGTAATGGTTTATTTTGTTATTAATATATATTAATAATGATTGAGATTATATAAATGTAAATTCTTTGATTGATTTTATTTTATTGAACATATTATTAATTAAATATTAAAAGAGATACAACGAAAGAATTCCATTTATAATAACAAAAATATAATTTGCTAAATAATAATAATATGATTTGTTGAAGAGATACACTTTTGACTTTTCAGAGGCAATTTAACAACGCGCATAGTGTGGAGCATCTTTGTGCTGGTCTTAATATTTGTCTTTACTGTCGTCTTAGCGATGACTGACAGTTCTGGCTGGCCTGGAGTATTCTTCTGGATTACTATGGTATCTGTTGTTATATTAAATAGTAAGTAAACATATATTTCTATGTATAATATTTAAAGATAAATTTTAAGAAAAATTTTCCTTTAAATTTCTTTTACTTCATATAAAGCCCTTTAATATCATTAATTTATCAATATCATATATCAAATTAAATTATTATATTAAATTAAGTTATATTTATAATTATTAATAATATTAACATTATTATTAATTGTTAATTGGTATTCTGTTCATGCATAATACATTGGAAATTTATGTTTTAGCTGCTAATGGTATTTACCAGAATTCAGTGTTTGGAATGGCAGCGAAACTGCCCATCAAATACATGGGCGCTGTTGTTTTAGGCTCGGTAAATATCAATATCACATCTGATAAAGAATTGTTGCATAATGCATAAACTTCTATCATCTGTTATTTTCAGAATATCAGTGGAACTTTTACAGCTATAATAAACTTCCTTGCACAAATAATGGCGCCGAATGCGCGTACTGCTGCTATATATTACTTTATCACGGCTTTGTTCATTCTACTGGCTTGCTTTGACACATATTTTGCACTTCCAATTAATGTAAGATTTCATTATCATATCTCTTGTTTCAATACTAGTTGCCAATATTTATTCCAATGTGTATTTAACTCAAAAATAAATAAGTTTATGAATCTCTTGATAAATAAATAATGAGTTAAAGTAAATTATTAATCTGTTCATTAATTTCGTGTATGTATTATAAAGGAATATTAGCTAAGCATATTAATGAATCAGCTAAATAATGTTAATAAATTAAATTACAGAGATTTTATCGATATCACGAGCTGCTTTATCAGAAAGAGACGAGCAAAAGACAATTAGAGAACAGTTCCAGGGGAAGCAACAGACCACCATATTGGGCAGTGTTTAAGGCATGTTTCCCGCAATGTTTTAACACATTTTTAATCTTTTTCGTGACTCTAGCGCTTTTTCCATCAGTTCAATCTGATATACAATCTTCAGACAAGAATTTCGTGATTCCGCCTGAATATTACAGCAGTGTTATGTGCTTTTTAACATTTAACATCACTGCGATGCTCGGAAGCTCAATCGCATCATTAGTTCAGTGGGTATGTAGAGTTTAGAGTTTTCTATATTGTAATTTGTATATATGTGTGTATATTTTTTCTGTCTTATATGATATATTTTTATTATTATTATTATGTATTTTACCTAACGTATCTTTTGTATAGTTTATATTTAATTATATATTTTTTAATTTTACTTGACATATATTAATTTATATATATA